TTAGTCCCCTTAGTCCCCTTAGTTAGTCCCCTTAGTCCCCTTAGTCCCCTTAGTTAGTCCCCTTAGTCCCCTTAGTCCCCTTAGTTAGCCCCCTTAGTCCCCTTAGTCCCCTATTTCAATTTGAAATCAAGTGCTCTTTTTTCTTTTTAAATTCAGATTGAATTTAAATAACCCATTGTATGGGTAGCTGATGCTGGAAACATTCGTGAAGATTCTAGTAGCATGTTGGGGATTGTTTCGTACGTTCCTATCGATAGTAATAGGATCAGAAGATGTGAGCTGGTAATTTAGCCTACCACGTGGAAGCTGAAGCTCTGTACCATGTCTTTGTTTCTGATGTTGCAAGGTGTAGAACTGGAGCTGCCACACGCTTAGTTAAGAGAATTTTTTTCTTTCACACATATTTTTCTTTTGCAGAAAAAGAAAACTTTCGAATGCTGTGATTTTGAGAAGAATTCATTTACACTCACGTAAAATATAGATTTTTATTTCTAACAATAGACAATTTTGATTTTTCTGAAACAGAGATTTCTTTCTTGTTTACAAGAGAGACGAACTTCTACTCACTCGGTTGATTGTACAAACACGAACTTCATCTGATATGGATGAGTTAGATGAGACATTCAACCTAAAGTAAGTAAATTGTTAATTATAAACGATGTATTAACATAGAAAACTATGATTTACTGGTCCATGACTTTCGTTAGGGTCGATAGAGTATCCTTAGTAGTTGTTGGTGGAGTTGATTGTGCAGATGAACCTGAAACATAGAATTTTAATAGTGTTGATAATAAAAGAAGACTGTCTATAATTATATTGAATGAAACTATTGTTGCATATACGATTGTTAGAAAGCTGAGTAGATAATTGATAATTTACCTGAAATTGATATTTGTGCAGCTGGTGATTGAGATGGTAAAGTTGGTGGTGGAGAAAAGACAGATGGAGTAGATGAACTTGGTATGGTAGGTGGAGCAGGTGGATTAGGTAAGGCCAGTGGAGCAGGTGGTAAAATTGGTGAAGGTGTTGGAACCATTGGAGGAGTTGAAACCAATGGTAACGACGTCGGAGTCACCGGTGAACGAGGTTGTACAACTGGAGATGCCGGACGTGTTTTTGGTCTCTTCTGCTCGATGACTAAAATAATAGATAGATTAGTCTAAGCAATTTCTTTTATCTTACTTCCATTATCAAAGAAAATTACAAATGCCAATTTGGTTGGGTGTGCAGCAACCATAGCATTGCTTTTCTTTGACTAGATTGTAGCCACCTTTACCAATTTGGCCAAGTGGCGGCGCATGCATTCATTGATGGCATCTGTATTGCCATCAATGAGTTGAATGTTACTCTCCTTGATCTTGTCAATAGCAGCTTCTTTTGGTGTATTCATCCTAGAAGGATAGGAACAAAACAAATATTAATTCTTTTGTCTATTCAATTAAGTTATGATTGTGACATTAAAAACACGTTATGTCGGTAGTGAAGGTAGTGAGATTTATGAAATCCACCATCACAATAGAGATAAACATTCCTCTGTCATATTTTTGAGATTCTGAGATATTTATTTTGTTTCAATATGCCTGAAAAATCTTGATACTGATTATTTAACAAATATTTTGTGACATTCACACTAAATTTAAATGCGTCGTGTTTATGTGTCGTGAATTATTGTGTCGAGCAGTCCAGCAGAAAAATGTGTCGTGCTTAGAATGTGTCGTATTCAAATTTGTCGCGTTCTGTCTGCTAACTATTCGTTCACCCTTTTGTTATACAGGCATAATGAGATATAAACAACGTGGTTCAACGTAAGAAAGATAAATTTTCAAAATATTCTTTTTTTTCTAAATTATTTCTCGATTGTTTTTCTGTCGAGAAAATGTAAATCTCGATCTATGATCGAGAAAGGACTACCCTGAAGCGATCTGATGCAAATCAGACCAACTCGAGATAGGATAGATCCCAGGATCTGACCTGCTTGAGTTTTCAGAATAAGAATGATTAAATGAAATTAAATTGAAAAACAAATCGAAATATGCTTTTCCAAAAGAACCAATAAAAAATGTGTCGCATGTGTCGTACGAAATGTGTCGTGGTCTCGCTGGAGAAAATGTGTCGCAGTGAGCTCTTTGTGTCGCACTTTAATGTGTCGTACAATGTGTCGCAAATCACGACACATGCGACACATTTTTATAAAATAAATTTATTTTAAATGTTTTCTTTCTTTTTAGCATTTCAACAACATGCTTGAACATAGTTTAAATATGAATATTGTTGTACATGAAATTGCAAACTTTATATTAAAAATGAACTTGAAGTAGATTAAATTATTGAATAAATAGTACGCATACTATTATTTATTAGACAACAAGTTAAAATAATTTTTGTTAAAATAAAAAGGTCAGAATAACAATTAATGATAATCAACGACAAAAAAAAAGTAATATTCATTTTCAAAAATGTAAAAAAAAAACGTCATCTTTAAGGTCAATTAAATCTTTTAAACGAAAAAAAATTATCATCAATATTGACTGAAATCGAAATAGTTTATCATTTTCCATGTCGTGCAACAGCTACTTCATGTTTGTAACCATTATGTCATGATAGTCTTCTATTATCTATTTCATTAATTGGTGAAAGTTTTCTTGCTGAACATGTATCAGTTGCTTGTCTTCTTCCTGTTAATATCAGTTTAGCAGTTGAATCATATTTACTTGAAAATTTATTACAAATATTTGTTGAACATGCAAATGACCCACGAAAAAAAAAACCGCGAAAAAACGCACTCTCAAAAACTGCGGTTTTAGTCGGTTTTTTTCGATCACAGGAGTCAGCCCATTAATGCACCTTTGAAAAACCGGAAAAAACCGCGGTTTTTGAAGACCCGTTTTTTCGCGGTTTCCAAAAGCTGCATTAATGGTCTGACTCCTGCGATCGAAAAAAACCGGCTAAAACCGCGGTTTTAAGGATAGAGGTTTGTAGCGGTTTTTCTAAAAATTTCTTTACAGCAGAGGTTCCAGTTATCTTCATTTCCATGCAGTTCCCATGATATTTCGAAAAAAACTATGATTGTTTTACAAGCTATAGTACGTAGTGTTCAATATGAATGTTGGTTTTTATGTGATTCTAGTTTAATTTTATAAACTATTTGGACATATAAATTGAAGAAAAAAAATCTCAGAATTCTTTTTTATAGTTTAACTATTAATTGGTCACGATTAATGCCAATTAGTAAAATGCCACCGTAAAGAATAAAATTTCCTAGTGTCATGGTGAAAAAAAAAGACAGTCGTTGAATATGTAATTCAACAGAGCTTTTCAAGCTTTATCGATTGCGTCATAAAGTTGCTTTTTTATTTTGATTGTTTTTCTCGAGAGAAAAATCTATTCTAAAACATTAATAGTGTAGTATTAGTGACGACTTTATTGCTCATAGATAAAAAGAAGCGTTGATTACTTCTAAGACGAGTGTACCAAGAGTTTTTCATAACGAGAGAGTTATTATAATATCGTTGCATATGCTTGGCGCTATTTACTCAATAATGGACATATATCAAAAAAATAATAAATATTCATTCATTCTTAATAATACGTTGATAACAATGAGAAGCTTGTGAAACCGCTCACAGCTGCAATTGTTAATACCGCGGTTATTATTGAACAGGCCGAGGTTTATGAAACCGGTGATAGCTGCTATATTGAATAACGCGGTTATTATGGAACACATCGCGGTTTATGAAACCGATGACAATCGCTATATTTAATACCGCGATTATCATGTACTTTACCGCGATATACGAAACCGGTAACAACCACTATATTTAAAACCCCGGTTATCGTTCACTACACCGCGGTATCTGAAACCGGTAACAATCGCTGTAATTAAAACCGCGGTTATCATGTATTACACCGCGGTATACGAAACCGGTAACAACCGCTATATTTAAAACCGCGGTTATCATGTACTACACTGCGGTTTTCTTTAACGCGATGCATAAAACCGCGGTTATTCAAAGGATACCGCGATTAACCGCGGTTTTCTCTAGAAATTTTTTTCGTGGGTATTGTCGGAAAATAACAAAAAAGTGATAATAAACAATTGATTTACATTCTTTTTCTTTTTTTATTGTTGTTTAATCTTCAATAAAATAAGTTCTCTATTAATGATAAACTGAAGATTTAACATTAAATATTGAACTAATAAATAGAAAAAAAGTAAATCTAACTGCATTATTTAGAAAATCAAATAGAATTTGTTTCGATCTAGACGTATATATATATATCAGTGATTGATAGAACTCTGTTCATTTTATTCAATAACATTACTTCAGTATGCTTCATCTATAAAAGTATCTTACATAATTGACATTCAATACCAATGATCTTTGGAAAAATTATATTGAAATATAAAATTTCAAAATAATATCATTAGACTATTATCATTAGAATATTATTTATGGAACGAGATTAACGTTCAATAATGTTAATATTTGAGTATGAAACCAGGGCTGGTCCGATAGGAGGTTGTGACAACCCCCCAATAATCGAAAATTTTCGTTTTTCTCCAGCGAAAATAAAATTTTTTTCTTGAGTTCTGTTAGAAAAAAATTTTAGTCGTATTACAAAAATCCGGAACAACCTCCGAAAAAATCGCGACAACCCCCCAATGTTTGCTGACTCGGGCCAGCCCTGAGACCGAACAATATTAATTTCTGTTATACTCTATTGATTAATATGCACAAAAAGCCATGGCTTTTTTCTCGAAATGTACATGATAGCATCAGCCCTTTTAGTTGAATTAGAAACATACTTATATATATATATGTCAGCGTCCATACTTGAATTCCGTCCAATCTCAGATTCGCCTGAAAGTTGAGCGACCAATCTCAGATTGGCCTGATGGATTTACGTCCAATCCAAGATTGGACGGAATCCGAGTTTGGACGCCAACATATATATATATATCGATAAAATAGGAAAGACAACATCAAAGTTCATATACTAGTGATAATTTGTCAAATAGTCATATGGCAGCTATCTGATAATATGTGAGACATAATAGAAGTAGGGTACATAGAAGCATCATTCAAAAGGAATTAAAAAATTGGATGATCTAAAATAAAAATATTACCTATACGATAGAGAAGAAATTTTCTTCAATATGCAGTAATTAGTTTTGCGCTCGTCCTTGATTTCCGAGGAAACAATCGCTGACAAACATTTGCTTGTAGCTTTAGTTTTCAAAAATAACGGGTGACTCATAATGAATGGCCGCACTTTGCATTGTATATTTTAATTTCTAAATACGTTTTATTAAAAAACAGAATACACCACAAGATGCAGCGTAAAAAGCTCTACAATTTACAAAGAACAATTATGAAAAGATGAAATAAGAAAAAACGAATTCATTTTGTGCCAAAAAAAAAATATTGCTTTCGCACCGTTGAAATTTGGTCGCTCACAGTTTTGACCATTTTGAAAGCAAAAAGTCCAGGTATAAAAAAGGCAGTCGCATATAAATTGTAGAGCTTTTCACGCTTCATCTTGTGGTATATTCTGTTTTTTTAATAAAACATATTTAGAAATTAAAATAAGCAAGGCAAAGTGCGGCCATTCATTATGGGTCACCAGTTATTATTCAAAACGAAAATACAATGACCTAAATATGAACATTTATTCATAATTATTCAAAATAAGAAGAATTTTATGTATAGTTATGTTTAATAATAAATACAATTCTATATTAATATCATCAATGATAATTTCATTTTTTGTCTGTAATCATTGAAAATGGCCACTTTATCTTATGATCTTCTCAAATAGAAATTCAGGAATACTTTTCAGTTTATTTTCAACTTGATTCAGTTGAAGAGTCATTAGATTTTTTCTCTCTTATTAGTGAACCAAGAAATCTGATTTCAACATTTTCTAACTATTTTATTCAGATATTTCCTATGTATTTAATCGAAGGAAAGATTATTCGTTTTTTACTTATTCCCAACATCTCAATAATCGATATTCATATCTTAGCAACGTATTTCGTATTCGAATTTACTTGAATACCATCTAGTTTCTTAAAGTTTCACACAATCATGGGCTTTTTTTTCTTTATTAAAACTAATAGAATAATAACTTCCATATGAAAAAAACAAAAAGAAATTGTCAAGATTATAGCTCATGATGTACGTCTTCTATTGCTTGAAATCTTATTACTCTTTTCTCATTCAAAAAGAGAAATGTTAATGTGATCATCAGCCATAATAATGCTTGAGAGAATTCAAATAAACCTAGTAGAATTATTGTCGATGAGTCAATCTCACTGGAAATAAATGATAATATTATTGGTATAGAAGCCAAAACCGAAACTGGTAATATATCATGAAGAAGTACATGCATCAAGAATATGTTATAAGCAGCCATGACATAACCCGTATAATGTAAATATTTCAAACTTTCTGATATAAAATGACAATCAGAGCGAATTAACATTTCGAAGTTATATAGCCATTTATAATCATTTAATAATTTATGACCAGAAACATTCTCCTTCAAGTGTTTCATAAAAGCATCTGCTTCTTCGACCATTTTGTACATCGGATTATCCTTTAATACAAGATTATCAATGATTACATTATCAAAATAGACAGCCATAAAGCAAAGAGGTAAAATTGATATCAGACATAAAGAAGTTCCCATCAAACCATTTACATCTTTCGGAGCGTAAAAGCATTTGAGATAATGATAAATGTTTTTCGGCATTGTTATTATCGACTTTGATGTAAATATAAATATCTAAAATAGAAAGACAAACGCAACATATGTGAAAATCTTGTCTTAAAAAAACATGTTTCTGTCTTTGTTTATATTCATTGTTCATGATCTGTAGAATAGTTTGGATTTGGATGATAGACGATAGAAAACAATGGATTTTTTCATTCGTTATCGAATCCGACAGCATTGAAAAGCAAACTACTGAAAATCGATGCATATTAGTATCATTGTAGAAAATATTTTTAGTCACAATAAATTACAATAAAAATTGTTTTTTTTTGTCATAATAACTGTCGATAGAATAGATGTCGGGTGTGGGTGTGCGCGTGTGTGGGTGTGGGTGTGTGGGTGCGGGTGTGTGGGTGTGGGTGGGTGGGTGTGTGGGTGTGGGGTGTGGGTGTGGGGTGTGGGTATTGGTGTGGATGTGGTTGTGGGTGTGAGTGTGGGTGGGTGTGGGTGTGTGGTACGGATGTGGATGTGGATGTGTCTAATCATACAATACTCACACCCACTCCCACCCCCACACCCCACCCACACCCACAGCCACACCCACCCACACACATACACCCACACCCACACCCACACACCCACCCCCACACCCCACCCACACCCACACCCACCCACACCCACATCCACACCCACACCCACACCCTAATTATTTTACTACCCAGGTCGAAAAGTACCGGCCGGTTCCCGCAGGAAAACACCGGAAATAGCCGGAACATGGAAGCAGTATTCCGGCCGGAAATTTTCGGAATTTTTTCCGCTGATTTTCCGCTCGGTTCCTGCCGGAAAACACAGGAAATTGGCCGGAATTCACCGGAAAAAATCCGGAGAATTTCCGGCCGGACTACTGCTTCCATGTTTCGGCTATTTCCGGTGTTTTCCTGCAGGATACGGTGATTTTTCCCGCATTTTCCTGCCGGTTCCTGCAATATCCGGTGGCCGGAACGATCGACCTGGGTACTAAAATAGATCAAACAAAAGTTAAATATTTTGTCAGATATACGTTTCTATAGGGAGGAACTTACCATCGATCTCAACGAGATGTACATCGTTTTTCAATTTCTTTATTAATTAAATCATTTCAATACTTATCTGTTTCTTCACGATATGCTTTAGTTTTATTAATCTTTGTTTGTATTTCATTCATCTCTTTCAATGCTAATTTCTTTTTTAATGTTGCTGATTCTATTTTAGTAGAACAGGAAGCTGTACATTTCCGAGATGATGCCATCTGTGCAGTAGCTGATGCCATAAGTGCACTAGAAGATTTCAAAATTTCATTCGTTGATTTAATTCCAACATTAATTTTATGCAATTCATCTTTTAGTTTATTAATATGGGCCTTAAATTTAGCTGTGTCTTCAGCAAATTGTTTTTGTAGTTCAAATATCCATTCAGATGTTGTTTCCTAAAAGATAAATAATAGAAAGATCTATCAGTTAGTATTAAATAAAGATGCCTTTTAGATGTATTTTGTTGTTTAATGAAAGTAATTTCGTTTTCTTTGACATAGTCAAATCATTTTAATGATTCTGAAAGAAGCATATTTGACTTTCGTTGCAACAAGTTCTATATTTAAAGTAGAAAAATAGTTGAATTGGTGTAACTACTAAATGTTTTATAAACTAACATCAGATGCTTATAGCTAAACGATTGCAATCAAAATGATTCTAACATTGAAATGCAATATTATCAAGAAGTTACAAGTTTAAATATTAATATATAGCCTTTTCTATAGATTCTAAAAAGCTAATTACATTACTCATATGTCAATCACTGCTACTATATAAACAATTTTGTTGAAACGAAGATATGTATGAAACAATTTATCTAAAAGTTTCGATCTTGAAAATGTCTGATTGTTGAAAATATTCTGTAGTATAAATATAAATTTATCCTTTTCTTTCTGAAATATTCATTATATTAAATACAAATTTAAGAAGCTACCGAAATTTATCTATTTGTAGAATATAATAGACTTTAACTATGTCAAATGATAGCCGTGACTATGTAGAATTATACCATCATCCTTAATCGATTGACCATAGTGAGTTTCGTGCTCACCTCTATTCTCAAGATCCAAGAAAGTTTTTCCAAAATGATAATATCTAGTAATTTTGTTATTGTTTGCGTTATATGAAAACAATTATAAATATCTTATATATTGAGAAATTTTTGAAAAACTTTATAGCTTTACATTTAGAATATGTGAAATAAAACGATTTTTGTATTAAAAATAGCTACAAGGATGAACTACTTAAAAAGAAAAACCACAATATCAATCAGACAATTATTTTTTAATTGTAAATAATATTAAATGATTTAATTAATAGTTTAATATTATTAAATCTTGACACTGTAGTATTTTGCCTAAGTCGGACGGCTATGTAGTCTTAATGAAATGTCTTTATTTTTGATTTTTATAGAATGGATATCACAAACTCAGATGATTCAAACGATAAGATCGCTATTAAAATTGAACAATTGTCTGTCGATGATGAAAACAAATTAAAACTTAGGTTACAACAAAAACTTGAAGAAATTAAGGGTGTAGAAAAGAAGAAGAATTGTGAAGGTAAATTTTAAAATTTCCGAGTTTCAAACTTTATTTATATTCGTGAATGACAATATTGGAGTTTTTTTTATAAGATTTCAGTAAAACTTGAATATTTCAAATTGATATTTTTTTTTCTTTTTAGAATGAGTTGATCTTCTAAAAATTGCAGAAATGAAGAGAAACAAGGCTGAAAGAGTAGAAAGAAAATTAAAAGAAGCCCAAGAAATGTTTCCAAAAAAAAACTGGACGTGCGTACTCGAACTAAATCAACAGAACATATTACTATCGCTGTTTGTTTAGGGATCATTCATTTGTTTTTGTTTTCTTCTGTATCGATTAATTTTGTTCTATCGAATTAATTTTTATCTCCTTCCGACCTCCATGTGGCAATAATAACTATAATAAAAGTTATCGAAATCTATGCTTTTTTAAATTAAACACTATCCAGGTCGAACAATATGGTCCGTTTACGGCTGTTTACGGTGAAAATACAAGGTATAAACGGATACTATACGATCAGAGTAGTGGACGCTTTTCTACAGCCATATCATAATGGAACAGCGGCATATATACGATCGCATACGGTTAAAATGTGGTGTTGTGTTACTGCGACAAGTATTACGAGAAAATACGAACAATAAGCCCCCGTAAAGTAGTCGTTTTTTCATCGTTAGCTGACGAAAAATGACCGTAACTATATTCAGTTTTGATTGGCCTAGCTATGTTTATTGAAAAACATTTATTTCAAAGCAAATTGAAAAATAAAAACTAAGTTAGGATAAAATATATTTATAAAGACAGAAGATTCTATTTTAAAGTATTTAACTATATATTTAATTTGTTTTACTGATAATGACAATATTCAATCACAAATAAATATTCTTTCAACATAAATTACTTGAAGTATAACAAAAGTAATGGTAGTAATATTTTAATACTTTATAAAAAATAGAAAAAAAAGGAGTATTTCTGCTCTATATTAATTGATAGTAAAAACGGCATTCTATTTCACTACACTACTATATCATTCTTCAACTAATATCATTATAGTGGAATTTCAATAATACTTGTTTGACTATTATATGCGTCGGTTACATTAATTTCATGTCATCTTCGATATTTATTTTCTTCTTGATTTTTTTCATTTCGTCTCTATATTCTTTTTTTTTCTCCTCACTTCTCATGTGTATCTATCTATGAATAAAAGAGTATTGAAAAAGTAATAAACATTGCAAAAAAATATATACAATACAGAAATAAGTAGCTTGTGCTTCATCTTCAACTTCATATAAAATTTTATGAAACCATTTACATCATCTTTCAACTGTCCTAGGGTGTGGATGTAGATGAAGATATCTACACCCACATTCACATCCAAAATACGACGATCGATCACTTTGGTCGGAATTCTACAGTCTTTGAAATAGATGCCAAAAAGTCTGATGGGACCTGGAACCTTCCATGTGTAGGCTTTTTGGAAACCTTGCCATCAGAGTTCATCGATGAAATGTTGGTATGGAATCCGTTATATAGAAGATTCTATTGTCTATTAAAAATCGCTATCAGAGTTTCAGCTAATGGTTGAACATTACAGGAAAAAATTAAAACTACATTGCTGTTAAACATTTTTTTTTACCACCTTGTGTAACACTATTTTGGTAAAGGATTCATTGTTATAGTGAATGTGCCAGTACTGATATAATCTCTCGCTGATCTTCCTTTCTACCATTCTTTTTACCTTGTCACAATGGTTCTTTCCTGTACTTATCTTTCTCTTGCTCTCTTCTGAGTCAGCGTGTGTTGTATGTGAAGTAATCACGTTCTGGTGATGTAAAATATCCCAATAAACATCATTATCGAGGATGGCGATTAGCTATTCCTACAGTTTGTCCTTGTATTCGACTCTAGCAGGAAGGATGTTGTTAACTGAGAGTCACGGCAACCAAACTTGCGTCTCTGAGTTCGAAGTTAGATCTTGTGAAAATAACAACAAGTGAGCATCTAACTTCAAAAAGAATGCAGTCCGAGTATTGCCTTCTACACGGAAAATACAATATGAACACGGGTTGTATATCATCATAATACTTGATGCAGAAATATGGTCGTGCCATAATGCAATAACGGCACATATACGACCGTATATAGCGAAAATAAGGCATCATGTGTAGTACCTTGCTACTGTGTTCGAGATTACGAAGAAACAAGACTAGTTTACTGCCGTAAAGTCTCCGTTTTCTATCGTTTACTAATGAAAAACGGACTGTAATCGATATCGGTTTGGATTGATATTAGAGTGCATAAATTTTGCTTTACTTTGCTACTAAATGGAAGTGCTACATTCGATACTATGAGATGTGAAATGTGAAACTTTTTTTCGCCTTTTTAACGAAGAACTACTAAAAGACGATTGAATTTGTCGAGAATGCGTCATTTTCTATAGTTCTTTCAATAGTACCGTAGTGGTACATTTTTTTTCTCTCATTTTTTTTATATCTAAGATGTAAAGCTAATGAGATTGTAAATTGCAAAAAGAAATCGTTCTAGGAATCTATTACGCTCTACATCCAATTTTTTGTAGTCTGAGACTTATTGAGCATTTTTTCAGTTGACGACGCAGAATCTACTGAAGTTTATTAAGTAATTGACTAATTTTTTTTGCTGATTCATAAGATAGCTATACATTAGCTTCTTACGTGTTAATGTAATAAAATTGTATGAAAATAGATCTGTGCGAAATCTATGATGATTTACATCGAGTGTTTCATGACTTTTGAGACGTGACAAAATTAGTTTATATGCCAACAGAGAATAATATCAAACCGGATGTTTTGATATAAGTCTTGAGTACTCGTGTCAGTCTGTCAAATGACATATTATTGGATAATATCCTGTCTTTTAATAGAAAAAAATAGAAGCGTGTGAATGCGCGACTAAATTTCTTGCAAACGACAAACATGATTTTTTTTAAAGATTTTTTAATGAAGTACTGAACAATTCTAAATAAACTAGGCCGTAGCAGAAACCAATAATTATTTATCTTATCCGACTATTTGGCACTCGTCACAATTCACTGTTTACGTGTTTAACGAACCTATAAATTCAATAACCGAAGTACAATTGATAAATTATATGAAAACATTGCACACAAAACGAAATACAAAGAACAAATATTGTATTTTGAATTATTGATCAAATTATTTAAGAATTAAATGTCATCTCAAGAAGATAACGCTAAATTTACTGATATTTTGACCTGCTAGTAGTGTATGGACAATATTTACGAAAAAAGTACGAGAAGAGCGATTTATAAGCTTTAAAAAAATAAAAACTAGATTGAATAAAAAATGAAAAGAATAACTGGTAATGGTTGAAAAAATTGTAAAGAGACCTGATAAAGTAAAAGGAAATAGCGGACAACATATACATGGTAGTAAAAAAAAAGATTTTTTGTCATCAGATTAATATATGTGAATAAAATCGCATTTATCGTTTTTTTTTTGTAATGAAAAATTTCTTGACGATCAATTGAGCACATTTTTTCCTGACATTTCATATTTATATTTTTATACTGAGAAGTGAAGATATTATCCGATTAATATATCATTTGAAACATTGACATGAATATTCAAGGTTCATTTATAAACTCTTCGACGAGGAATTATTTTTTGTCTTCACATTTATTATTTTTGTCGTTCCTCAACACTTATGAAATCCTCTGCATGTTTGTTATAAATGCTTTGCTGCGAAAAATGTTTATGTAAACTAATTGAACTTAGAAAAATAAATGTTTCCGTATTTCTCGTTCGTATTGAATCATTGTTTTATGTTGTATTTCGTATGAAATGCTCAAGCTAATTAGTTTAAAATGTAAGGTAAGTCTTATTTAAATACTTCATGTGTTGTGTGCTATTCTTCTTCTTATGTTGTTGCATAAACTTTCGATGATATGTCAATCGTCAAGTAATCTCGCATATGCGTGTGAAAAGAGTAATTGAAATAATTGTTATAAATCTTATTATTCAATGTCGTTCTTATATTTTTTTCATTGCTTGATTGAGTTCACATGATGGACTTCCTAATGTGTTCTGTCCGTTTTTTTCTTTTTTTCATATTTGTCCCTGCTTTTTTTCGTCTTTTGTCTATATTGCTCAACTGCTCAAGAGTATATTCAATCTGAGTAGGAGGGTGTGCCGATATTGATATCATCTCCTGTTGATCTTCCTTCCCTCTTTCTTCTTTATCTTATCATTATTGTTCTTTCTGTGCCCATCTCTCTCTCTCTCTTGCTCTCTCCTATATAAGGGTGTGTTGCATGTGAAGTAGTCACATTCTTGAGATATGAAGTAGCTCAATAAACCATCATTATCCAGGGTAACAGTAAGCTAGTCCTCCAGTTTGTCATACCAGTGTATAACTCAGTTATAACTTTTACTTCTTTTCTTAGTCTTTTATCTTAATCCTGTCGTACAAATGGCAAGTATCATATACATGTGTCCTTGTTTTATTTTACTCATGTGCAAAAAAAAAGGTCAAAAATCAAATTAAAATCTATTGTAATAGCACTATTTTAATTTGGTTTTAATCAGCTTTTTCCGTCTTAAAAACAAGTTTCATTTGATTTTAATCTTGTTTAACCTATTTTAATCGGTTAGCAAACTTTAATCAATTAAAGTATATTAAAAAAGATAAAAATCAAATGAAATCTGTCTTTTTGGCTAAAAAAGTTGATTAAAATCAGATAAAAATAGTACGATTATAATAGATTCTTAATCCAAAACTAATTGATTTTAATTTGATTTTGAGCCTTTTTTTTTACTTGGACAGTTATTTTCCTAACGTTTTCGTCTCTTGATATAGATCCGAGCTTGTTCTATTTTTAGCATACTTTCTTCTTTGTATTTTTGATGGTTTCTAACCCGTTTACTTACATCTATGATTTCTGTTTTGAAAAGAAATTCGTTCATCATCAGTTAATACGATCGATTATCTATTAATACCTACTATTGGTAACTTCAAAAAACACATTTAGTACAACATAAGCATTCGATTATCAATAATAGGTTCACTTTTTTCCTATAAGAACTTTAAAAAAATATATATAGGTGACTAAATTTTATTTTAAATTGGAATAAAAATCATATTGATAGAAATTATTTATCTTCAACATTGTCTTATCAATTCCGTTTTTTTGTTGCTTGCCGCTTATTGTAAAACCATACACGAATCACATAAGAATCATGACCTAATTGTTCGGATAAAATAGCAATATCTTGTTCTAAAATAAAGAAAGTTTTTTTTTCGCGAATAGTTATCTGTAATCCAAAAATATTTACGGCTTGGTTTAGGATTTTGAATAAATGCTTCTTTAAGATGTTCAATATCAGCTGCACTGAAGATAGTTCTTTTACGACGACGTCTATTACTTGTATTTAATGAATCGTCACTTATACTTCTATTATGTTTATAATGATGAGATAGTTGTTGCGCTGATTCAGTAGAATGATGTACAGTTGTTATTTCATTTAAGTCATTTGAATTTGAACTCATTTCATCAGCACTATTACTTGTCATTGATGTTGATGAATGTGTACAAAAAGATAAAGACGAGGTTGATTTAGACATCATATGTTTATTCGGTGGTTGTTGTTGTCGTTTTTGTTGAATAATCGTATTAGTTGTTGTTGTCAATAATCTATATAGAAATCAAATGACCAAAGAAAAGTTTATAGGTATTTACTAGGACATTTTACCGTTGATCACAAGGAGATGAAGAAGTAATCGAAACCACATCTGATGTTAATGAAGTATTATTTTTATCACGAGCAACTTGAATCGATCTATGATTGGAATTGAATTAAATTTTTTTCTACAAATCTCTCTTCCATGACTTACAGATTAGGTAAAAGTAAAGCAGTAATAGTACCATCAAGTTCAACCATTGATTTTACTTGACCAACATAATAGTTATCCGAAAAAATATCGAATACGGAGAGTGTTTGATCACTGACAAGATTCATATTATTATTATTTGACGACGTTTCTAATAAAAAAAACAGAATAATACGTAAAAGAAAAAGGAATTTTTGTATATTTTAACCAGAATTAAGTTGTTTAATCGTGAACCAATCATCATCGTCTATAGTTATCTGCTCTTGATAATCATAAATTGGTGACATTTTACCAAGTTTATCTAGCTATAAAAAAAAAAAAGATTCTTTAGAAATCGAAGTTAATAATATTGAATTCTCACTAAACAATTGGATTCAATATTAAAAAGAAAATTAGATTGATAATTTTCTGGAAACATTAATTCTTCCATTGTAAAACCAAGTTTGAGCATGATTTTTATAGTTAATGATTTAAATCGATCAAAAGAATAACAAATGATGTCTAGTTTTTCACATATTAAAATGTGCGAAGAATCTCATTAGTGAACCAACATAGAAAAAAGAAAGATAAGTAAGAGAAGGATACGAATGTGTCTTCTATAAAAAAATCAAAAACAATTTATAATGTAACTTTATTTTATGATACAACTTAATTGATCAGAATGATCTTGCTGTGTCGTCGTGTGTCTATATCTGTCTCTGATAATCGATCAATAAGTTTCTCACATGTTATGCGCGCTTTTTCTCTTTCGTTTGGCTAGGATGATTTGTACTGTCTTATCAAATGACTTATGTCCATTGTTGAATATCAAAATTTGAGTTCATTTTTAAGTATAAAACTTTATTTGTTGAAGTTCATATATGTGCCAACTAGAATAAGTGAAACGGTTTCATCATTAAACTATATGCACGCAATGTACCGATTTTATTAATAAGAAAATTGTGTACCTTCATCGTAAAATCTCTACAAAACAAAGAATATTTAATAAGTTGATTCATGCGTAGGATTGTTTTCATCAAGATATTTCCGATTAATAATAAATCAAAATGCGCGTGAACAATTATAAATTTTGTTTATTTGTTCTTCATTCTTTGTATAGGTAAAAGAGTACACTGATTAGTTCTTGTTTTTCTTTATTTTCAGATGTAAGCTTTGTCTCTTATCTCAGAAAATGTTTTTTTGTTCGTTGGAGAAAAAAAAACTCGGAACTGATTTGCATATGTATACTTGTTTTCGAACAGCTTTTGTATAGTTATCAATGTAGAGTCATACAACGATATACGTAGTACTTTTGACTTTTGATTAATTGATTGACAGTTATTTAAAAAAAAAGAAATCATAAATGTTTATTTGAATATGATGATGATTGAAGCGATTCGGCTAACGCAAATTTATTGTCTACGGAAATGAAAAATTAAGTTTTATTCATCAAATAGTTTATGTACGGTCGTGTTTCCGATCTAACTAATGATGAATTGTACGTAAGCGGTCGCTTTTCCGATTTTAAATGTAACTTTTTTTTCTATCGTTCTCATATTTTCTCCCTCATTTATCGAAAACATAGTTATTACTTGTTTTGCTTATTTCTTCATTATAATGATTTTCTATAGATTAGTATTTACTTCTACACTTTTCTAGTATTCGATCTACATAAATACTTGAAAACACATAAAAGCAGTTGAACAATTACAAGTGAACATACAACTCGATTTGATTCATAACTACCAACTATATTTTATACATTTATTGTGTCTTATACTTAACTACACATTAAAGAAATAATTAATTGAATATTCTAATCAATAATGTGTATTACATCTTCATCAACAATTATCAATAGTTACTATTATGTTTTAATAGCACTATTCATTACAACGACTGTAAGGAAAAAAAAACATATTTAAATCGTTTTCTTTTTGTTTTTTTTTCTAAATTAAAATATTTTTTTTTTCTAGTGTAGCTATGTTATAGAACCGGATGATTTGAGAAATAGTTTTACTGATCAACAATTTGGATTGAATAGACCTTCGTTTTATAATCGTGTTTTTCGTTCAACAAAATTTCCACGTATTGGTCGGTCAACATCTGATATAGAAGACATGTTTCCTATTTTCGATACAAATCCAAATGTTGAAGATAATGAAGAAAATAATAATGATAATGAATCACGATGGATGGAACAACGTAGTGTCCTTTTTCCACGCATTGGTAAACGTACAGATCATAATTTAGTTTGGACACATAGTTTATCAAATCCACATCATATATTAGATGCACAAGGTCAATATCATCCTAAAAATGGTTATGATTATCATAATCATCAAAATCAACCAACATCAATGATACATTATCAAGGCAAATAAAATATATTTCAATGTTATTACACAAAATGTTTTTATTAGAACTAAAAAAAAAAAGACATAAACACATGCACAAACAGCAGATTCTTCTAATAAACAACAGTATTCAAATTAGTGTTTCTCTCTATGTTGTATTTTGTTGTAATCAAAGAAAAAAAAAGGAACAAAATAGAAAAAAAAACATTATTAAGGAGAATTCATTCCAGCGACAAGTGGTACAGTGTGTTGTTCAACTTTTAATTCTTCATAAAATGCTTTGTCTTCTGTATCTTGAATCATTGTTCGTAATCGATCACTTTTTACATGTATACTAACAATAATCCATCCAACAAGAACAAATGCTGCTCGAACAGCTGTTAAATTTTTCCATGTAGAACTTTGATTATCTACTACATTAGTCTTTAAAAAGAAAAGAAAACATCATAGAAATCAATAGCAAAACAAAACTTACAATATTGAAATAAGTTTGATTTGTAGCCGTTTGAGTCATACGTAAATAATCTTCTGTTTTCATCATAACTAAATTAATAATCATAGCAATACCATAAAAGATAAAAGCTACTCCACTATTCTGTGCAGTAATCGATTGTAAAAGTACTGTTTTATTAAATTTGACAGGGTCAATTCTAAAGCAAAATATAACAACGAAATATAGAATGGACCATCAATAACAATTGATATATCTCTATTTTATTTTATTTTTTTAATAAGGATAATGTAAACAAATACTACTATCAAGTTATACTTTTTATCTCAACGAAGAAATTTTATCTATTATGAAGTAAAAATAAATATATAGGAAGTGTTTTATAGATAGTTTTCATTTGTAATATAAGATAATAATAAGAAGTCAAAACAAACTTAATGAATGATAGTCTATTATTAATACACACAGTGGAAGTTTTCAAAACTAGTCAATTTAAAAGTTGAAATCGTTATTTCATAAATAAAATATAACATTGAAACCATTTAGAACACTAACATCCTTTCAAAAAAAAACAATGTCACATGTTTGAAAATTCGAAATTTAGTAATAGTTGATTTTTAAACTAATTAGTTTTGAAAATTCACTAGATACACATCAATATAGTATATTCGTTAATTCCATTTTGTTTTCCTATTATTATTCTCTTAGATAACAACTGAAATTATATATAAAAAACCTTCATATGTTTTTTTTTTCTTACTTGGATAACACGTCAAACTCCTTTTATGACACCTGCATTAATACTTAATAGTAGTATTTGCTTATTTTATCGGTGTCAAAAAGATTTTCAATATCACTTCTACCACAAATCAAAAAATTAGCACATTTTATTAAACTAACGCGAAGATATTTCATTTTTTTTTTATTGTATTGCTATTTATAGTTCATCCTATGTACAGTGATCGCAATAAGTTTCGCTACTAGGTAAAAAAAACCTAACCTTTAATCCTTTAGTCTTATAGTTGGAATACAAATAGAGACTATTGAACTTTGATCACAAAGGGCTAATTATGACTTGATTAATCTTCATACAGAAGAGCTAGAAGGTCCATCTAGATTTTTTTTCTTCAGAAGAACATATCTCAATGCCGTCTGTATCACCAATAATAGTTCCATGTGAAAAAGATTTAGTTTGTCTGATTTATGAAATATTCTTTGGGTCATCTTCATATGAGAATTGATAGCAATCGTCCAAAAGTGTCTCATATCTTCGGCTAATTTAAACCTTTGGCCTTGAAATTTTCTTTAATGAATATTGTACTCTAATCAAGTTTTCCTTGAAAATTTCACGATCGCAGTCATAAATAAAGAAAACTAGATGGTATTCGAGCTTCGCTTCGAATACGAAATGCCCTGCGAAGCACGAATCTCTCGAATCTTCGAAAAAACGAATTACGAATGGAGATTCAATAATCGCTCTAAATATCATCGGAATTCGTTCTCACATTCTACGTCAACGTTTAAAGATAATTGAAGATGTTTCTAAGTTAGGAATAATCGATAAAGAAACATTTTCATCGATCAGCTGATCTAACCTAGATCCGACATGCAAGTCATCCATTATAAAATTCATCACTACAGAAACTCTAACAAAGCGGATCGATAGACTTCTAGAAACCGTTGTTTATTGATCGATTAATTATCTGAATGATTCATCATCTATAATCAGCTGTATCGCAGCTGTCTTATATTCTAAGAGAAAAGACGAAATGGCGCCTAACTTCTCTTTCACTTTTCGTTTTAATTATCTCGCAGCTTAAATTCTTCAAAATCCTGTTTTTGGAAGACAGTTTATGAGAAGATTCTGGGTCTCTTGGATGATTTGACGAAATATTTCACGGGTTCGGTCTTGATTCTTGCGCTTCACGTTTCAATGAATGTTTTCTGACTTTCCGTTCTCGAGATCATCGCGACACAAAACAGCGACTTGATATGCGTACGTCGAGAAAGTAAAAGAAAAACTAGATGGTAGTCGAGCTTCGCTCAACTACGAAATGCCCTGCGAAGCAGGGAAGGAGGATCGAAACAATAAATTTCGAAAAGAAATCCAAGAACTGTTCTAACGAGATGATATTCGAGCTTCGCTGCGAATACGAAATGCGGTGCGAAGCATAGGCATCAAGAATTCGAGAAACGAATGTCGAATCGAAATCGAGTAATCCGTATACGTATAATCGGTGCGAATTCTCTCAATCTGTGTCAACGTTCTACGATACTGCAGGATGTTTCTCAGTAAGGTACAATCGATAAAAAAATCATCTGTATCAAACAGCAGATTTCATCTAGATTCAAAACGAAATGTATCCATTATAAAATTCATCACTACAGAAACTCCATGAAAGCGTATCGACAAATTTCTACAAATTGTTTTTTATTGATCAATTAATTATCTCAGTGATTCATTATCTGTAATCAGCTGTATCACAGCTGTCATATATTCAAAGAGAAAAAAATGGCGCCTAACTTCTCTTTCTCTTTTCGTTTTAATTATCTCAAAGCTAAAATTGCTCAAAATCGTCATTTTGGAAGGCAGTTTATGAGAAGATTCGGGGTCTTTTGGATTATCTGATCAAAGATTTCACGGGTTCGATGTCGATTCTTACAGTTCCCATTTCAACGGAATTTTTCTGACGTTCCGTTCTCGAGATCATCGCGACACAAAATGACGAGTTGATGTGCGTACGTCGAGAAAGTAAAAGAAAAAAAAAAAAAAAAAAAAAACTCGCGACGGACTACATAAATGCTCCTGCTTCGCAGGGCATTAAAAAAGTAAACTCGCGACCGACTACATAAATGCTCCTGCTTCGCAGGGCATTAAAAATTCATGCCGAGATCTGTCAAGACAATCGAAGCTTCTCCACACCTCAAGATTAGAGAGGATTGAAGTAGCCTATCTGAAACACAATATAGACTTGTAAATCTTGATTTTTTTTAATAAAGAATGAAGATGAACGCATTCAAATAGTAAAAGTCCAGGAAAATCTTTTTTTTTTTTGATTTCTAAAGAAAAGTCAGTGTTTCCATCGTAAATCCTTTGCACTAAATCCACCGACTTCGAATTGCTACTTGCGATCAAACTACACTGAATTCGATTTGTAGTCAAAGTCTCAAGAAAACTACTTCTAGTTATTTGGTAGCGAAACTCCATGAGACTACTATATATTTTGATTATCAAAAATGAAAAGAAGAGAAAAAGAATAAAATCTTAATTACCGATCTAAAACATCAACCATACATATAGAAAGAAAAAGATAAAATAGAAGATGTGTAATCAATGCAATTTTTGCATAAACATTAAAAAAATTTGTTGCATTATCTTGTGTAAATACAAATGCAATAATACATATCCATAATGCATAACCAGAATTAATGCCATGTATAAAAAGAAAAAATTTTTGCAAAGCTACATGAGTTTGTTTAGCAACTAAAACTGTATAACGTTTTAGAACTTCTGCTGTTTGTTGTTGAAATGTATAATTATCAACATATCCTAATTGAAATGGTGATTGTCCTGCTTTATTACCTATACGCGCTTCTGCAGCTTCTTTATTTACACTTGAAAATTTTTCTTAAGAAAAAAGAAAAATAATAATTAATAATATTTCAATAATTATAAAACAATATCATACTTCTATTTTCAAAATAAATACGAGGTGTTGGAGCACTTTTTGATGGTGCACCACCTGCATGTGAACCTGACATTAATAGATCAGGTAAAACTACTTCATTTGATTTTTGAGGTCTTTCAATGACAACTTCATCTTCAAAACCATGTAAAAGTGAAGGTTCTTGTCTTAATTGTGATCTATAATTAATTATTAGAAATTAAATATATTTTAAAAATAAATATAAATTACGATGATCTGACACGTCGTCGAGCTTTTCGACGTTTAGTTGTTTGAGGTTCATCTGTTTGATTTGATCGAGGTGGCAAAGGAAGCTAAAATTTCAAAAAATAATATCTTTGATTAAGAAATAATTTAAATTGAAAATAAAAAAGACAAGAAAAATTAAATTACTTCTTTAACTGCTGGTGGTGAAACTGTTTCTCGTCCATCTGGTGTTTGTTGACGAATTAATCGTTGTTGAGCTCGTCTTCGTTGTCGAGCACTTTCCTCACTAGTTACTGTACGAGGTGTTTCCTCACTACTTACACCAGCTGGCTCAGGTGGAATTAATTTTGGTAAACGTCGTCTTTGATTTCCTCCTTGCCCTGTACTAGTAGTTGCCATCGATTGATTATGATGACTTATACTCGTATTATTCGTTGTCATAGGAACACAAATAGTTACAGAAGCGACCTCTTATATATATTATTTCTTATTGGATGATTGAAATCAAATAACAAAACATATTGCCGATATATAATAGATTTTCGTTTTTTTTTCTTTTATTTGCGTAGTTGAAAGATTTTCTTCGTAGAGGAAATTGAGAATTTTCATTGGTGAAGACATTTAATGAATGAGTAGTAGATACATTTAAATAGTATTTCTAATACAACGCGTACTAAACAGAATTACCATAGGCAAAACACCTGCTGCTTTTGATATACACGTTTTTTCTTCACACATTACTGAGAAAAAAAACAGAATGTACTATGTTGTCGAGTTTTCTCTCATGAACATGAAGTTCTTAAGCAAAAAAAATCATGTGATATAGATACTTCTTGAGATATGCGTAGAAGAAAAAAAGTTCTACGTAGAAGAACTGCATATATTATTTTCAATTACTGTTCTGGTTGAACTTTTTTCTAGCTAATAAAATTTAGCAAAATATATTTATTGATTTTTATCAATGTTTTAATAGAATTTATTTTTCTCTTGCATATGAGATTTTATAACGAATAAATTATGTGATGTAGAGATATTTTGATATTTATTCTTGTCAAACAAATGAAAAAAATAATAAGTTTAAGTAGATTATGTAAATTAATGTTTATTAGAGTTAGAATCGATCTGATTAGAATTTTTTAAAAACCTAAATTGATTTAATTGTAAACAATCATAAACTGATTCTATCTCTGATGTTATTTTTTTGTAACTTCATTAGATTATTAAATTAGCATATAGTTTAATAGCTTGCTAAGTATTTTTCCTTTTATCTCCCATAAAAGGAAAAAAAAACGTCGAACACAACTTTTGTTTTATTCAGATTGTAATTTGTTTGTTTGTTTTTCTTATGCTTTGCTAATAAAAAGAAAGTATAAATACACATACATTGCTCGTATAAATATAGTGTATGAAAATATTTTGTTTTAGATTGCAAAATAGTACATTATAATACGAAAAGTAAATAAATTTTTTGTTTCGTATTTCTAGATGAAAGGTCAGCTATATAATACATTTGACGAAATGTTGTTTAATTTTTTTTTTTTTTCATACAAAAAAGAATCATTTTATCAATAAATTTTTTTTCTAATGAATCTTTAAATTTTATTATTTATGAAATAAAAAACAAATGGTATTTTATTTTAATTTTTCTTTAGTTATTTACAATTGAAATATAATTATGTCAGGAAGTATTATTCATGAAAAGCCGGCATCACTTGGACCTGTTCGTCAAAACAGTGTAACCAGTTAGTCAAAATAAAATTAATGAAAATATTTCAATTTCTAATTATTTTTTTTTTTTTTATTAAGATGATAATTCTCCATTAAAATTATTTACTCATGCTAAAACAACAATAACTGGAATATTTAAAAACATTGCATCATATGTTAATGATTCAAATAAATATTTAGATGGTTTGTTTTATTTTATTTTATTATGAAACAAAAAAAAAATTGTTTGTTTTAATAGACGTAAGCAAATCTGAAAGAAATTTAATAACCGATGATAAACATAAAGATATTCAACAATTAAAAGACAGAGTCATTCGTATTCTATCTGTTATATCACGTGATCATATGAAAGTTGTCTTTTTTGGAAGGTTAATTAATTGAAATTCTTCTTTCTTTTTTTTTGAATTTCTCAAAATTCTATTTTAGAACAAGTAATGGAAAAAGTACAACTGTAAATGCAATGTTACGCGAAAGAATATTACCAGTTGGTATGGGACATACAACAAATTGTTTTCTTCAAGTATAATAAATTTAAAAGATATATTTAAATGATATATTAATCTCTATTTAGATTGAAGGAACCGATAAAGCTGAACCATATGTTCTTACACCAGGATCAGATGAACCAAAGAGTGTTACTGTAAGTAGATAGAGTTTTTTTATGATGATTTATAAGTGATAATTTCTAATTTATGAATAGATTATAGAGGAAATAAAAACTAATACATTTTGATTTCTATTACTAATTAAGAAAATTTAAAATGAACGATAATATCAAAATTGTAATTCACTATTCACGGTGTCACGAGAATCTAATATTTCTGAATTCATTCAAAACTAGTGAATTTATCTTTTAATAGTATATAAACTATTCTGACTGTATCGAAAGAGAACTATGGTTCAAAATAGACAGCCTTTATCCTCAATAAGGTCTCCGTTTGTTATTGCGTGTTCATTTTCGTTTCCATTCTTTGCAGTTTATATTAAAGGAAACACAAAGATTTGCTATTGGTGGCACAAAACAATATTTGTTAAGCTTTACATAGACTCTAAAAACACATTATTTACTCAATTTTCTGCAAAACCATTTTTTTTTTGAAACACAGTACAATAATACAAAATATTTCTATATAGAAAAATTTTAACTTTAACTGTAACATTCATATTAAAAAATATTTTTTATTAAAATAATTTCATATATCGAATAATACAATCATCGGACATTGATCTGATCATCTTTTTTTTTTCGTAAATTCATATTTACATTACTGGTCAAAAAATGTAGTCAATAAAAAATTTTAATTCGAGCTAATTCGATTGTGTACAGAATGAGCAAGCAATATGGTTTATCTCCGAATCAATCTAGACCTGTTTCGACCCGATTCGATGATCTCTCAGTTCGCTCATAATATTATCAATTTCAATAATTTATAATTATATTTAATATGTACTGTAGAATAACTATTTTAATAAAAAAATATTCAGCACCTGTTCATGGTTAAGTACGCATGCATTCGGAGATGTAGTTGTAAATTGTATCTTATTGATCATTTTTCGTGTTCAATACATGTGTCTTAACAATAATCAGTGATACATCATTTAATTTAAGTCGGAGGTTATTTTATGAATTCTGCTCAATCAATGATCATTCGAGAATGAATCCTTTAAATGATTAATCATGAACAAAATGAGAATTAATTGGAACAGTTTCAAGTGAGAGATCATAGAATAGGATTAAAACAAAGAATATCTAAATAAAGTATTTGTACTTGAGTGCTGTTAGCAAGTTCTGAAAATTACTCATGCGAGATATACATTGACTCATCATATGAATAATTTGTTATGAAACATTTCAGATGAATCATGATAAAAATGAAATTGATAAATGCCATGGTGTTTATTACATTTCTGATTGATTTTTGATAACTAGATGATATCAGCTGATATAATGTGTACAAAATAGTGAACTGTTTTTTTTTGTTTAAAACTCTAACGCTTTTTACATTTATTAATTGTTGAATAAAAATTTTTTTATTTAGAGTTTGGGTAATGTTGGCAGTGCTCTCTCAAGAGAAAAACTAGATTCAGATTCTCTTGTAAAAATTTTATGGCCAAAAGAAAAATGTCGTCTTATTCGAGATGATGTTATTCTTGTTGATAGGTAGAATAAAAAAATTTTTTCTTTCTTTTTGTTAAATTTCATTTCTATGTTTTTTTTTTCTTTAGTCCGGGCATTGATGTATCAGCTAATCTTGATCAATGGATTGAAAATCATTGCTTAGATGCTGATGTATTTGTACTTGTTATATCAGCTGAAGCAACAATTACAGTTGCTGTAAGTTTACATTAGAATTAAATCAAAATTAAATGAAAAAATAAATAAAATTTAGGAGAAAAAATTTTTACATAATGTTGCACAACGTTTATCAAATCCGAATATTTTTATTTTAATGAATCGATGGGATGCGACTGCAAATGAACCAGATGAAGTTGAATCTGTAAGAATATTGTTGTTGTTTTTTTTTTCTCTAAATTTGAAATATTTATTTTATGCGTTCCTTTTTTTTAGGTGAGACAGCAACATCTTGATCGAGGCTTGGAATTTTTATGTGACGAATTACATCTATGCGATCGAAAAGAAGCTTCCGAACATCGAATGTTTTTTATTTCCGCACGTGAAGCTTTATTAAGTCGAAATAAAGATCCAACAGCTTCACCAAGAACTGGTTTTAATGAGGGTAAAATAATTTAAATTTATCAAGAAATTAATTATTTCTGTGTTTCTTTTTTTTCATTTAGGATATAAAGAACGTCTCGATGAATTTACTAAATTTGAACATGAATTCGAAGAATGTATTTCAAAAACTGCTGTTCAAACTAAATTTGAACAACATACAAATCGAGGCAAAGAAATTATAGCTTTATTACGTGACACAACAGCGAATATAGCTAATAAATCTCAAACATTAAAACAAGAACTTGTTCAAAAATTAACTGAAATGGATGAAAAAAATACTTTACTTGAAAATGAATTACGTTCAATGACTGAATCGGCAAAAGAAAAAATTCGACATATAACTGAAGATGTTTATAAAAGAGTTGCACAAACATTGAATGATGAAATTAAACGGTATGTTTTTCTAATAGAAATATTAAAAAAAATTAATCAAATATGAACCAGAACTTCTTTTTTTTTTCTTACTTTAAAAAAAAACTGAGAAAATGAAAAAAATATTATAGTTGCTTTTTTCTCTTGTTAAATATCATGATATATTCTTATAGTCATGTTATGAATTAATTATAAAACATGTCTGAAAGATTAGGATGAAGAACAATCGATACAAAAGACTTGTTGGATGTTTTTCTTTTTCTGAATTAATTAAGTTATTGTCTACAATCTAGATAAATTTTTAGAGTATGTTATTAGCTCTTGATAGTTAGAGATGAACCCACATCCAAGTACATAATGTCAAAGATGACATTTTTATCCTTATTAAGAATGCAGCTTCTGTTAATTGAGCTAAGATTCACATTTTTTTTTTGTTAATTTTTCTTTCAATAATATCAACTGATTCTGAGATTTGTATTTTGCATTAAGAAAAGTTAGGAGAAGAACATTCAAAACTTTAATTTCTAATCAGAACCTCTTCTTAGAATTTGTCTAATGCAAAATACAAATCTCAAAATCAATTGACATTTGCCGAAAAACTATGGACTTCCAATCAGTTTTAGAACCTTTGTTTTTATATTTTATAAATTTCGACAATAGCTTTGCATAGAGCAATTATTATTTTTACGAACAATCTACGGGGAACTGCATTATTAATAAGGAAAAAAATGTCATCTTTCACATCATGTTCTAGATGTTGGTATATCCCTATTAGTAGATAGTCGTGGATCTGTTAGATTGACTGAAGAAATCAAAACAAAATTGATTAGCTTGAAATTACGATATTCAAATGTCAAACTATAAAGATATTGTCGTATACGTTGGCATTACAAACGAAAACACAAGTTTGATTACACTCACAAGGCTTCATATAATAGAGAAAATATCAAAATAAAAAAAAACAAAAGCCAATTAGAACTTTCTCTCTCTTATATGTATTTGTTTAAATTGTTCCACGAATTCTGAGAAAGAAAATCTATAGATCGTATTTCTTTGATTATACATTTCTAATACTCATATAGGAACCTTGACTAAAAATATCAATAACATTTGACAATGATTCAAAACATAAGATTCATCTGAAATATCTTATTTTAATAGAAGAACCTGATCTAAATATATATTTGGTTTCAAAAGAAAAACTTTCTTGTTCATGAAATATTTTTATAGAAGGATTTCATAAGATTGTCTTTTTCTTTTTGAAATATGAGCAGTCTTACATTCAACATAATATCATTTTTCTTTTCGAACGAAAAAAAATAATTTCTTTTTTTTTTTATTTTTTAAGTCTTTATACATTAATCGAAGAATTCGAACGTCCATTTTCGTCCGATCCCGAACAAATTCCACTTTATAAACGAGATTTACATCGTTGGGTTGAAGATCGACTTGGTTCTAATTTACAAAATCGCCTTAATACAGCTTTATATTCATCATTAAGTAGTGTTCATCGTGAAATAAAAGAACGTGTTAAATCCGTTTTATCAAATAATGAACGTAAAATGCTTGTTGAATCAATAGTACCTCGTTCAGATTTTGCTGTTTCATATCGTTTGGATTGTTCAAATTTATGTTCAGATTTTCGTGAAGATATACAATTTAAATTTTCATTAGGATTTACATGTTTATGGCAACGTTTTGTTCAAAATCAGAAAGAATCTCTAACAGGACCAAAACCTATAAATGAATTAACCTCACCAACATCATTACTTAATTCAACAAATGATTTATTAACAACAGCAAACAATATATCAATATTAACATCAAAATCAGGTTTACTTGCATTAGGTGCTGGTGCATTAGTATGGCGTAGTGTTGGTTGGAAAGTATTAGGTATTGTTGCTGGTATTTATGGTAGTTTATATTTATATGAACGTTTAATGTGGACAAAAAAAGCCCAAGAACGTGCATTTAAACGTCAATATGCTGATTATGCATCGTCAAAAATGAAATTAATTGTTGATTTAACATCAGGTAATGCAAGTGCACAAGTACAACAAGAATTATCAATGTATTTTGCTCAAACAATACGTTATGTTGATAATGAAAAAGATGATTTAACAGATAATATGAAACAATTAAGAAAAGAAGTTGATCAATTATTAAAATATATTGATAAAGGAAAAAAATTACGAAAACAAGGAGATGATATTGATAATGAATTAAGGGAATTTTCAAAACAATATTTATCATCAAATTCAATAATAACATAAAATGAATAATTTATCTATGAAACGAACATCTTGTCTTAGTGTTTCTTTAGAGTTAATGTTCCTGTATTCTGTTTCTTTTTTTTCGAGTGTTTCAACTTCATGATTTCTATTTTTTTTTCCAACTACATATTTGAGCCTTGTAGCATTTTCTAAAGTCATTATTATTATTTTTTGTTTGTTTGTTTGTTTATTCTTCCTTGTCACTTGTCGTTTTCATACAGTAAAAACAAAAAAAGAATACAAATCAGTTCAGACGATACTTATGAATTTTAAAGACAAGAAAATTTAGAAAAAGTTTTTATTATAATATTTGTTTATTTGTTTGTTTTTTTCGCTAAATTTTAAAAGATATAAAATATTATTCGCTGATATTTTTAATTGAGAATAACTACATTATTAACTTTATTCCTTTTTCAGCATTGCATATTTGGTTGCTAAGAAGAAAGGAAAAAGTCAGCAGACGTAGATTCTTTTTTTTTAACGAGATGTATTACCTTTTTTTACAATCATCTAGGAAGAAAAAAAAGCACGAGTCCTCCATGCGCGCTTATATTCCTTCTTTTTTCGTTAAAATTTTTTGTCTATAGTTAAGTATCGCACGATTGCAATGAATAGTTTGGTGTTTTTCTTTCAGTCCAAAAGCTTATGAAAGAAAAGTGTTTTTCTTATTTCCTTTTAGATACTAATTTACAACTATGGATTTTGGATCCAAATATATTTATAAATATGATCATTCAGAATCAGAATCCGTATCTGATGATGATGATGGTACACTTGGAAATGATGCTGATCCATTGTTTATACCGAAATCCAAAGCAAGGTAAAGAATAATTTAAATTATTTTAAATTAAAACTAATTAAACAATTCTTTTTTCAGCGAAGGAGAAAAACAACATGAACAACAAATTGAATCTGCTGCAAGTAGCTCTGCTATAGCTTCACATAGACGAAAACGTTTACGTAAACCTGATACGAATGTTCTTAGTGTTAAATTTAATCGATTACTTCAACCAGGTAATAATAAAATATCATAGAAAAAGAAAATGATTATGTTATGTTTTCTTTTCAGGTGAAATGCATGCTGGCGATCCTGTCTATTGTAAAGATTGTGGTGCAATAGCTTCTCATTTAAGTAAAATTCAAATTGAAACACAAGAACCTACTGAACGTGATCAATCAAATGAATCAGAATCTAAATGGCGCTGTGAATTTTGCTCAAATACAAACATAGTTGATATTGAACAATCAGATTTACCTAAACAAGAAGATGCAACATATTTGATATCTCCAGCACCTGTTGTTCATGGTTCAGATATGACTGGTGTTGATGATTCGATAGTTTTATTTCTAATTGATATTAGTGGTTCAATGTCATCAACAACATTAGTTCACGGTACATTTCATTTACCAAATGCACATAAACAACAAGAACGTGCGGCTGAAGCATTTGGTGGTGCACCTATGATAAGACAACATCGTCAAACATATGTATCACGTTTACAAGGTGTACAAATGGCTGTTGATGCTAATTTAGATAAACTTGTTAAAGATACACCAACAAGACGTGCTGCATTACTTACCTTCAATCATGAACTAACATATTTTGGTATTATAACTATATATATATATGTATATAATAATTTTACTTTTTTTTAATTGATATTAATTTTTAGGTGATGGTACAAGAGATGAACCATTAATTATACGTGGTGATAAATTAAATAATGCAAATGATTTATTACATGAGGCTGAAAAAGAATTAAATAAAGAATTGAAACCTGTTGCAGAAACGAAAACAAAATTAACTGAACGTGTCTATGATCTTGAGGAAGGTGGTCAAACAGCACTTGGTCCAGCTGTTGTTTTTGCTCTTAATATTGCATCGAAACGGCAAGGTTCAAAAATAGTTATTTGTACTGATGGTAAAAGAAGAACAAATCGAAATATAGATTTTTATTTTTTATTGAAAAAAAAATTTTTGTTTTTTTTTTTCTTTCAGGCTTAGCTAATCGAGGCTTAGGCAGTTTAGAAACGGCTCAAGATGAAAAAGTTGATGAGGCTATTAGAAACCAAGCTCTTGAAGAAGGAAATCAATTTTATGCTGAATGTAAATTTTATTCAGTTATTTTTTTTTTGTTTTAATTTATAAATATATTTTTTTATTTCTAAGTAACTGAACGTGCTAGAGAAAAAGGTGTTAGTATATCTGTTATCACTATCAAAGGTAAAGTATTTTTTTTTTAAGATGTGGTTTTTGTTTTTCATTACATTATTTCATTGTTTAGGCACTGCTTGTTTACTTCCTGTAATCGGTCAAATGGTAGAAGAAATTTTGATTTATGTTTTTCTTTTTCTATAAAAAAAAATTTTTTTTTTCTTTTTTGTAATGAATAGGCTGATGGTACAGGTGGTAATGTAACAATTGTGGATTTATTAAATATGCGTGATGAATTTGCATCAATACTTGAACAAAAAACTATTGCAACAAATGTTGAAGCAACCTTAATTGTTCATCGTGGTTTATATATTCGTAATCCTGATAATTTAGAGGATAAACTTGACAAAATAAAACGTGATATTGGAAATGTAACAAAACAAACTGAAGTTACATTTGAATTTGGTGTTAGAAATAAAGAAGGTTTGTTGTTTTCCTTTCTTTTTTTTGTACATATTAATAATAGAATTATCATATAATATAATATTATTTTATCTGTAATTTAGAAATCAAAGAAAAATATCATATTGATTTGGATCAATTAGAACAATTACCATTTCAAGTACAAGTTACTTATACAGCTGTTGATGGTAGTAAAGCCTTACGTGTATTAACACAATTAAGAGAAGCGACAGAAAATCGTGAAGTAGCTGAAGTTAATGCTATTCGTAGTGTTATTGCAGAAAATCATATTCGAAGTACAGCAAATGATATGATGTAAATTACAATCAAAAGATTCGTTGGATATTTTCAAATGAAAAATATGTTTTCTTTTTCTTTTATAGGGCAGCAATATCTGATGAAGAAGAATATGAGATACCACGTACACGTTCAAAATGGTCAACACCTGTTGTACAGAAACAACGTGTTGCTTATATGGATAATCTTAATACAAAAGTACGCTCTAGAGGAACTTATGAAACAGATCAATTTAATGAAAGGTTTAATTTATATAGAAAGATTTATTTTAAGCTATTTTGTTTTTTCTCATAGACGTTGGAATGCAGCAAGTAATGAATTACAAAGACATGTTATTTCATCAAGATCTCGTAAGGCTGATGCATTAAGACATACACCACCGGCATCAACATCAGCAGCAGCAGCACTACCACCACCATCAAAACCAGGTGGTTCTCTATTTGGTGCTATAGGTGATCGAGTATCACGTCTTTTCACTGGTTCAAATAAAGAAGATGCATCTGAACGTAATGCTGTTGTCCTTTCATCACCATCAAGAAGTGTTTCGAAACGAAGTTATGGTTTTGCTACATCAAATCTTAGCCATTTTTCTGATCAGCATTCAGAAGATCTCTATCGATATAAAAATATATCATCAGATTATATGCGTGAATCAAGTCCAACACGTGATGATAACCAACCTGCTATCACGTTGAGTACCAATCGTGTTGCAACTAGACGATATGAAATGGATGATCAACCACCCGTTGCACCAAGTATTCGACATTCGGCTGGTAGACGAAATAACGATGACGACCAATCGGTTAATACATCAGACATGCGTCGAGTTGCATTTAAACGAAATACTGATGACGAAGATAGTCCACGAGTGAGCACCTTGAATACTGGTCGTTCAGCAACAAGACAAAATGATAACGATGATCAACCAGCTACTGCATCAAGTACTGGTCGTTTTTCCACTAGACGACACGATGAAGACGACCAACCGACTGGCACCTCAAATATGAGTCGTTTTTCAGGTAGACGCCATGATGAAGACGATCAACCCGCTAATGCATCAAATACCGATCGTTTTTCAGGTAGACGAAGCGATGAAGACGACCAACCGACTAACATCTCAAATATGAGTCGTTTTTCAGGGAGACGCCATGATGAAGACGATCAACCCGCTAATGCATCAAATACGGGTCGTTTTTCGACTAGACGACACGATGACGATAATGATACATAAACTAAATCAGTTTTTGATATTTTTCTTTTTGTGAAAATAAAAAATAATTAACAAAACAATGATATTATTATTTTTATAATTACGATTTTTTTCTCTAATTTTTCATATAAATTTTAATTTTTGATTTTTATTATTCCAGAAATAAATCAAATGCATGAGATAAATAATTGATTATTGATAAATCAAACAGATTTTTCTTTAGATCAATCTCGATTTAGAAGAATTATGGCTAATCTACATTGGAATGATTCAGGTAAATCGTTTAATTAGAAAATAAAGTCAAATTGTTTCATATGCGCTTTAAACTATTAAATGTTGGTAAAATTTAGTGACAATAATAAGTGCAATGACTGATCTAATAAGACATAGGATAGCTATATAAAATCGATTTTTTTTTGGCTATATCTATGTAATAGAACTATGTAAACATTGCTTTCCTTAATCGCCAACATCTGTACGTCTACGTACTATTCAGATGCTTATTATCGTTTGTGCCAAAGATGAATATGCATTAATGTAAGATTTATTAAGATTAATGTGTTATTAATAGAGATTTTATTCAACTTATGCATATGTTTTTTACATTATATGCTTAACCAAACTTCATTCTTAGTGAATAATAATGAAGAATCAATAAGAATGTATGGAAAAGTACTCATCTCTAATTTCTATGATAATAGCAAGACGTGTTACGTTATAGATGGCATTTTCAACAAAAGAAAACTTTCACTTTTATAATGAAATATAGAAAATTTTTGAATAAGCAAACAAAAAATTTATGTAGACTTTACAATAAAATATAATAATTTATTATATTTATTTTAAGTTAATCATGATGTTAAAGACCTTCTTGAC